GCTCTGGGGGAGGAAGGACCCTGGCCAGGCATAGCCATCCCTGGGCGGGGCAGCATTTCCCAGCGCTGACTCAGTCCCCGAGTTCATCCATAGGACACTACATGGTTAACCAGTAACCACACGCCCTCGCTCCACCCACAAAGCCATTATAGCCCATGTCCAGGCCAAGGGCGTGTCACAGGCTAACATGGGCGTCCGGGAAGAAGTGATGTCCCGATATCCCCACTCAGCCCAAGTGAGAGCCCCCGAGTGTGGGAGGGAGGCTGGGCCTGGGCTCCCGGGGACCCCAGGAGGCTGGAGGAATTGGGGGTCCTGACCTCCCGAGACACTGGATTTTATGAGGCTTGATGTCCTGACTGGGGTGGGGTGGGAGCCCCGAGACCTGAGTCCTGGCCAGGTGGGGCCTGTCCTGGGGGCCCTGAGTGGGATGGGGTGGGAGCCCCGAGACCTGAGTCCTGGCCAGGTGGGGCCTGTCCTGGGGGCTCTGAGTGGGTGGGGTGGGAGCCCCGAGACCTGGGGTGGCTGGAGCCTCCTCCGGGGGCTGAGCCGCGCCTTGTCCGGTAGCAGCCGCACCTGGGCAGCCTGAGCCCCTTCTTGCTCACCTGCGCCGCCTACTTCTTCCTCTGGATCCCTGAGGACCCGCCGTCCAGGGTGGGCGCTCTGGTCAAGTGCCTGCCGGTGCTGTGCCTGGTGGGGCTCCTGCGGGCGAACCCCGGCTCTGGCTCCGGTGGGGGCTACAGCCTTCGCCTGCAGGTGGCCCTGCTCTTCTCGGCCCTCGGGGATGTCTTCCTCATCTGGCCCAAGAACTTCCTGTATGGTGAGCCGGGGAGCGGGCCGCACTGACCCTTTCCGACCCCCACACTAGGGGCCCCGGTTGCGGGGCGACTCCCTGATAGCCTCTGCCGGGAACCAGAGGGCGTTCCCAGGCCCTGGGGCCCAGCAGTGACCAGCACACACCCAGACCCCTGCCTCGGGGAGCTCAGCCTGACCTGGGCAGGTGGGCGTGGCGGGCGTTGAGGGAGGATGGAGTCCCGGAGTCACACTCTGGAGTAGGACAGCCTCACAGAGAAGGGGGTGTGGGAAGGATGGATGGTCTAGCCCAGTGGTCGGCAAACTGTGGCTCATGAGCCACATGTGGCTCTTGGGCCCCTTGAGTGTGGCTCTTCCTAAGCCTTAGGAGGACCCTAATTAAGCGAATAACAATGTACCTACCTATACAGTTAAGTTTTGGCTCTCAAAAGAAATTTCAATCGTACTGTTGATATTTGACTCTGCTGACTAATGAGTTTGCCGACCACTGACCTAAAC